TTTTTTTTTTCCTTCTTTCTACTTTTTGAAATTTCAACTATGATATAAGAAATGTACAGTTTTAGTGCAGTTGGGTCACTAGTTTGATGAGTAAAGCAAAGTCATTGAAAAATTATAAAAAAAAAAAACCTTATCTTTCAAGTGTAGGCATAAGATCATCATCAACATCAACATATTCAGTATATTTCCAATAGGTTGGGGTCTGAGGGGTCAATTGTACGCAGATCTTACCCTTGTAATTATACAAGGAGGCTGTTTCCATAGCGACCTAAGGTGCGTTGCGTCGTTTGATATATTTTTTTCTAGAAACTTCACTAACAGAAAAAGCACTAGAATTTAATTGTGCCATTTTGATCTAGTCCATTATTAGCACTATGCCAAGATAATTGTCAACAATCACTCTTATGGACACAGGTGTAGGCATAAGTTGAAAATGCAAAAACTTTCATCTCCTTTCAAGCCAAGCATTGTGCTGTTCCCACAAAATCCATTGTATTTTGCACTAAAATCCATACTTATATATGTGTTTCACCTGATTTAATGCAAATCAAGCCAACTAGTCTATCTAGTTTAAAACTACAAAAACAACAATACCAAGCATATATGCTTGACAAAAGAATCATGAACAAGCTACTAATATTTCTGGTTTTGCTTTTGGTTCCTCTTCGAAGCGCGGGAAAAGATTTACCCGAAACATACGACATTTTAAACGAGCTCGAGAGTTGGGATATGGATTTTGAGGAAGAAGACGAGTTTGATCTCTTTGAGTGGCCGTCTTGGGAAAGTTCGCGCGCGAGCAAGAATCTTGTAAATGTGGAAGCATTTGGTGCTGTTGGAGATGGTGTGTCTGATGATACTCAGGTGAATCGAAAATCAATGCTTTATGTTTTACTTGTGGTTATTGGTTAAGAGACAAAAGGGGCATATTCCTTTTTTTACCTCCCTCTTTTCAACATCTTCACGTGTGTTAAATTGATGGACAGGCCTTTAAGAATGCATGGAATGAAGCTTGCAGCACAGCAAGATCGGTTCTTTTGGTGCCCAGCGGGCGCAGTTATCTAGTGAAGGCAACAAGATTTAACGGGCCTTGTGTCGACAAGTTAGTGGTCCAGGTAAGAAAAAACAACAAAAAACAAAAGGAAAGAAAATTTGATCAGGCTCCTCTTTGAATATTATGTTCTTGAGGGGTGCATTAGTTAATGTCTTTCGTGACGTGTGTGCAGATTGAAGGGACTATCGTGGCGCCAGAGCTGAAAGATTGGGATCCCAATAGCCCGCGAACTTGGATTGTGTTCAATAATTTGACCAATGTTTTTCTCCAAGGGAATGGTGTTATTGATGGCAATGGGCATAAATGGTGGGAAGCATCTTGCAAAAAGAACAAGGCCAATGTAAAAAAAAAAAATATTTCTCAGCATTCATATGTGTTTGATATCATATTTTCGAGACAGAAATTAGTTCTCCTAAACTAATCATTATTGTTTTCTATTTTTCCCGTTCGGCCTCAGCCATGCCAAGATGCACCAGCGGTGAGGTTCTTTTCTCCCTGATAATACGTCCATCGATTGAAAGGGAGCTCATGAACTTTATTAAAAGATGACTTGATTATTATCTATCTAATTTCTCCAATCGCGCACAGAGAAGTATTTTACCGTGTGAGATGATTCTTGTTTTCAGGCCTTAACCATAGATTCGAGCTCGCGTGTAAGAGTTAAAGGCTTGCAAATCCAAAACGGGCAGCAGATGAACTTTATTATCGCGCGTAGTAATTTAGTTCGTGTGTTTGGCATGAAAGTTACTGCTCCGGGGGACAGTCCAAATACCGACGGCATTCATATAACCGGCTCAACCAATGTGGTTCTTCAGAACTGCAAAGTCGGGACAGGTTAACAAAACACACACACACACACACACACAGAGAGCTCTAAACAAACAAAAAAAAAGTTGTTACAGAACAGAATTTATAACTAGTTGACATTTGCCATTTTATTAGGCGACGATTGTGTCTCAATTGTCAGCGGCACTTCAAACGTGAGATTGAAGAATATGCAGTGTGGACCGGGACATGGGATCAGGTACAAACGGATACATAACTAACTGTTGATGATTTCTAGCGAATGTTTGGTCCTAACACATTAATTGCACGGCTCGGAATATATTTTTATGTGCATGTACTGCAGCATCGGTAGCCTTGGGAAGAACAACTCGACAGGCACAGTCGAAAATGTTGTAGTGGACAGAGCAGTTATAAGAGGTGCATCCAATGGTGTTAGGATCAAGACTTGGCAGGTAATTAATAACAACCTCTTTTATTTACTCTGCTTGTCCTTGATTGATTTATGGAGAAAACCCCCCCTCACATTATGAGTATTGAATTGCATTTTGGCAGGGAGGATCGGGCTACGTTAAAGCAGTACGCTTTCAAAATATTGTAATGGAAGATGTCGCGAACCCAATCATCATCGATCAATTCTATTGTGATTCGCCAACTTCTTGTAAACCTCAGGTAAAAAAATTCTTGAAAAAAAAAATAGAAAAACAAAAACAAAACAGAACAAACTCAGTTGATCTGATGTTAAAATTTAAGGCATTTTTTTTTTTGTGGACAAAATAGGATTCAGCTGTGGCAATAAGCCAGATAATGTACCTTAACATAACCGGGACTTCGAAGACAAAAAATGCAATGAAGTTTGCATGTAGCGACACGGTCCCATGCAAGGAAATCATCCTCAAAGACATCAACTTGCAGGGGAATAACGATGATGTCACGTCTGTTGTCACCTTTTGCCACTCGGCTGCCGGCATTATCAAAGGGGACATTAATCCCGACGCGCAGTGTCTCCTCTCGGCTTCCAATAAGGATCAGAAGGTGGAGGGTGATGATATCATCATTCACACCGAGCTATGATAAAACGAGCCAATCAATTACGCGTATAAACTGATTATGTATACATGAGCAGAAATCGCCCAAGGAGAACCATGTCATCGTCTGCTCGGAAGATATTAATTATACTATGTAAAGTTATTCAACCTCTATAAGAAATCATACGTTCATTTCTTCGTCGTTAGTGTTAGAGAATAGACTATAAAGTGTTGTGAATATTTTTGGACGACGCCCAAGAATTTCTTGTAATGTTTTTCATTGTAAGAGTTGAAACTATAATCAGTTTGATGGTAATTTTAATAAGAAAAAAAGATCTGCTTAATAATAATTTTTTTTTTTTTGCTTCTACTCTTCGAACAGCCGATCATGGATGATTCTAGTTACATTCTTCTCCATTATGATCGATGACGGACGTACTTAAAAAGTGTTTGGTATTCGAACAATAGGATTTTTAAAATCTTAAAAAGTGTTTAGAAATGCACATGAATAGATATTAAGAATTGTAACTGTTTGCTTTAAGAGAAACAAATTTGATTTTAAACCGTGTAGGTGGCCAAGTTGCACGTACGCCGCTTGATATGACCGGAAAGACAACAACGACTCACTTACGGCACAAAACACGACACCATACTTAAAAAGAAAAAAGAAAAAAAAAAGGAAGAAACTGATGACAGTTGACCACAATCCCCTAGAGAGAGAGAGAGAGAGGTAGGTAGCTCCTAGCTAACCACATATGGTTTTCTTAAAGGAAACAGTGTTTTGAACGAGGTCGACCCCCACCAAAAAGTCAGTCTGTGCCAGGTTGCCGTAAACAGGTACTCCGTTTGGTGTCGGCATAACCGCCATGCACAAAAACACCTGACCATCATCACTTGGACCTACCTCTACCAAAACATTGTTGTACCCCAAAGTCACGGCTTTACAGCCCATGTAAACTGTGACACCTGGAAAACTAGCGCTCAAGTCCTTGTTCGTATTATTGAAGCACAAATCTATGTTCCAATTACGTGGGCAATGCACTGGCATCAGCTGTGCCTTGTGCGATGCCCACTCAATCACGGCATTCTTTAACTTGTCGTACAGACCCTGCGGCAGCAGTGTCATGGTCGTCCCTATATCCAGAATCATGTCGACCGGGGGCGATAAAGTGTCCACCTTCGTCTGCCCAAAGCTCATCCCTTCCAGAGCCACAACGTAGAAGCTCTTGGTTTTCGGCCTCTGCAGCAGAGGTACCGACACAACCCCTTTTCCAGCCACGGGGCTGCCGAAACTCATCTTGCTCGTGTTTTTTTCGTCCGTCACCGACACCAGGCAGTAGGAGAAACTCCCCTGCCCCAGCTGACGCACGAGCGACAGCTCTCCGCCCCCTAGCCCAACCGTGCCAACCTCGTTAGTGCCCGTGTAATCGCATCCGAACGTGATGTTACTCACCGAGATGCCGTCGAACGTGATGGTGTCCGCAAAGAGGTCACCCGCGGCAGTAGTCCCGTCAAAATATTGCATGGTGAAGTTGCATTTGTTTCCTACTGCGTTGCAGTTGGTGAGGTCGTCGCAGATGGCAGGGGTGCACGGGACGGGCGTCGAGAAGCAA